GCCGGAGCTCCGATGAGCGATTCTGATGCGGCGGGCTTTTGCTCGCAGAGCAGCGTCTACCGGCCGGGGATGGATGTAACAAAAGCAGAGTTAGTGGGTAGAACAAATTGGAGAAGACAAGAGAAGATGGAAAACGTCGGAGAGTGGAAAGCTAGGGTTTACGAAGTGCATAACGTTGTTTTCAGTTTCCGGTCAAGAAAAGTTGCTGCCGGTGAATCTGACGTGGCCGGGAGCGAGCAGGTTTTGCCATTGGAGCTGGATGAAGACGAAGACGGTTTTCTCGTTGCGGAGAATCCGAGTTTTGGAATCCCAGCGGGTTGTAATAGCAATGCCGATAAGAGAAGACATAGTAGTTTTGTTCGAGAAGAACGAGAGTGGGTCCCGGTGGGGAGAAAAAGCGTGGATTTGCCTTCTATATCTATGGCGCCGCCTAGGAAATCTTCCGCCATGGCACCGCCTAGGAAATCTTCCGCGGTGGCCCCGCCTATGCTGGAGCCGCCTACGAAGGAGAAAGAATATTTGAGAAGTTTGCGGCCGGCGGTGTGGTTGACGGAGCAGTTTCCATTGAAGACGGAAGAGTTGTTGCCATTGTTGGACATTCTGGCGAACAAGGTGAAGGCAGTGCGGCGGCTGCGGGAGTTGCTGACGACAAAGTTCCCGGCGGGCAGTTTTCCGGTGAAGGTACGTGTGGTGGTTGACTATTGACTGTTGTTGTTTGTGTTGTGCGTGTGAGTGTGGGACCGCATGAGCCGAAATGATTAATTTGATAATTGTTTTGATTTGATTGATGGATGTGATGTATGGTTTTGCGAAAATTCGTGAATGATTTTAATTTGTGATCGACGGTGGTGATGGAAAGTGAAAAAGATTATGTTTTTGATGTTTTGGTATATGTGGGGCAGGTGGCGATCCCCGTGGTCCCCACTGTGAGGGTGGTGGTCACGTTTACGAAGTTCGTGGACCTGCAACCTCTGGAGCAGTTCTACACGCCGCTCTCGAGTCCTTCGCATTTGCTCAGTGCAGATGAGGATTTTCTTGATGGTGATCATAATCGGCAGAAATTACTAAGACAAAGTTCATCATCTTCTGGGGGCTCCACGTGGCTGAGACGAAGTACTAGTAGTAGCCAATCGTGGAGCAAGCACCAACAACGATGCTCCTCTGGAGCTCTGGATTCGGATCCTTTTGCCATTCCTGCTGGATATACGTGGACCAATAGTGTGGATGATTCGTCACGGAAAATGAACAAGTCCAACTCCTTCAGAAAATCAAAGTGAAAACACCAAGTATCAAGTATGCACTAATTTGAGTTTTAAGATGAGATAATTTCATGAAATATGTGAACCATTGTAGCAATGTGTCGAAAGCTGCATCCATAATTGTGTAAATATCCCGTATTGTTTTTCATTAATCAACTGGGGGCTTTGGGATAACCGTGTTCATACAGAGGACCCTCAGCATAGTTTTTAGAAGTAAGAACTGAATTACTTGACCAAGTTTTGTTTCGTCTATCATAGTCAAATTTGTTATGTTTCATTTTTTGCAGAGAAATAGATCATTCCTTTTTGTGCATGTTTTTTGTTAAGTACATTTGAAATGGTTATTGCCAATGCAACCATGGCCTTGGACCTGATTGTGGCTAAGTTTCATGGTGGAATTGGTAATTTTCATTTGATTCGTTTACAGTTTTTAGTTTACGATTCTTAACAGATATGAATTTTAAGTAAAGTAATATTCAAAGGAGAAATATAAACAAGTTTTAGTGTCCTTGATGAGAAAATTCAATCCTAATCTCTCTTTCTTATGGGCAAAATTTTAGGGGGTGTTTGAGTTCACTGTAGGAAAAACTATCGGGTTCACAATATTTTTAACTCATGCTGAAGAGATGTGAGAAAAAAACTCACAATGATTTATATGAGAGGTTCTGTCCTTACTTTGTTCAACTAATCTCTCGAGATTAGTTCTTAATTTGTCATTACTTGTGACTATTTTTCATTATTTTTGCGTGTGCTTGTTCGGCGTCAAGTGATTGGTAAGGATGTGAAAGCGAACATTTTAAGTCGGAACATCATCTTAAACGCACGTGTAGTGCCCTTATGACGTGAAGGCAGAGTAATGTATGGAGAAGAACATGAATGACTGAGGAGTAAATTGAAACTATTGATCATGTTCTCTAACAAACACCGCCGTCCTCGTTGCCTCGTTGATATTACCGATGCGACGAGAATATCTAAGACTCTCAACATTAAAATTTAACGGTCAACAATAACCAGCGAGGATAGTGAGGAAAATGGTCAAAGACTCGAAGGCATATTAGACTTTACTTTATCAAAAGTAGCCTTAATCGAGAGCACAATTAAGCATGTAATGCATGCATCGTTGTACAAATGTATAGCGTTGCATAAAAGGACATTGCTCAAGTTTTGCTCTAAAGACCAGAACAATTTTCGTACATTTCTCAGTGGAAGCGCAACACATTGAAGAAAAGTTTGATGTTAGATTGGAGAATGACTAAAGATGAATGAAAGTCACGACATTCGTTTATAAATTGTAACCATATTTATTTGTACTGCAAATATCGCCTACAGTGTTGGTTTAGTTACCATCAAATGTACTGCGTATATTCATTTGCATGAGGCTCAACTGACTTTTACTCTGTCTCCACATTCAAGATTCAGTCTCCCTAGACATCAGTACAGATCAAGACATTTCCTGGAATCTTTATTCCTTTTACCCCACTCTTTGGACTAAGCTTTCCCTTTTCCTCTTTAAATTTCTCACTGTAACCTTCAACTAGATTTTAAATCCCAATTAATAAACCCCGGGCCCTCAGTAATCCCACAAGGCTATTTCAACAAATGTCATCAGTTTATCTTTTGCTCCTTTCATTTATGAACAATTGCAGACTTTGCTAAAAAATATTTAAAAGAAAAAAAGAGTGAATGAGAAGCAATAACATCGTTGGTTTAAAGATAACACTCAACAGGAGCCCTCAGTTTCCCAGGAAATGTGATAGTAAATTTGAAATTTAGCAAAAAAACAAAATATGCTACCATTGAACGAAGTTGATGCTAAAAGCAGTTCAAAGTTTTTACGACCAGATGCTAATGTTGTACCCGCAAAGCACAACAGGGTTCTCTTTTTGTTTAATCTCTGATTTTGATGTGTGTTATTTTTCCTACAAATGGCGTATGATAACGCAATGATTAGTTATATTATAATAAATTAAGTAGAAGAGACAGGACAAGGGAAATGCATGCCTTGATAGAAGTGGACTAAGGTGGTTCCATCATAATAATAAACGACAAATATCAAATTCACATTGCCTAGAGGGATAACTAACTTACAATGCTGGCCAAAGTATCTCTACAACGTGACAACAATGAGAACTAAAAATTAACAAAGATGCATCACAAACTTTGCTTAACCAAGTGGCAATATTCAAATTGGTGAATCGGCAAGTGCTGATACGAAAACATAAAAGATATATCTGGCAAAGAATAAACAATCTATTCATTCAGGTCTCAGTATAACTCCTCTGTTTACGTCTAATACCGACAACCGAGTCATACGAGGTACTACCCATGTCTCTAACCATTACTGCATCAAGTTTTCATCTAATTCTATTATAATTTGCCGAAAAACACATTTGGGTAGATGATGTAACTGCTATAACTCGTTAAATAACATATCATATCCAAAACGTAAACTTTGTGACCAAGCATACTATGTAAGGTACGTCATGATTCTTGGATGTCCTCTATGATTCATGGGCACGTGCCCGACCGATGTTGCAAATACATTATTTTTCAAGGCAAATGCTTTCTCATGTGTGCCAAGGAATATAATATATTCGAGATACCGATTCATCAGTGAAAAAGTTAATTACTAGGCCTCCCTCAGGAAGTTTGCTAAGATGTAGCAATAATTTACTGAGCCATTGTTTCCCAGTAATGAAAAATGAGGTTCCTAAACAAATCTAACAAAGGTTTAACAATTAATATAGTCTACTTTTATTGTATCCACGGCACATAAGAGAGTGAAAGCTGGGGAGCGAAGCACCATGTTGGGCTGATGGTGAATGGGGTGCAAGTTGTACTGGTGCTATGGAGGATGATGGCACTATATCCCAAAAAGACTCCCGCAAGAACAAGAATTTGGTTACCAAAGTCAAAGAAGATGCAAGGATAGGTGTGCAGAAGATTAAAAAATTTGTTTCACATGGACCAAAAGCCAACTCAAGAGAAAGGACATCCAAACAGTTGGGAGGATCCAAATCTACCTTTCATTCTAAAGGATATTAATTTGACCCCAACAAACTCAGATGTGAAAAGTTTATTTTTCAATAATTTCTTTTATATTTCCATTAATAAACAGGGAAAGAAACCCTCCAATGTACATATACTTGTTTTCCGATATAAGGTTTTCCATTCATTATTTTTATTCCATTTTTCAAAAGAAAAAAAAAACGAGAGTTTATCCTAAGGAAACCCACTTGAAGATGAGTGGGTTGATATATGTATTGCGAATCGCTGCATCATTGGCAATTGGAGCCCAATGTTCCTTTTTATAAGGTGGATCTGTTTCAGAGAGAAAACATTAATAAAAAATTGATAGATTTTTCTTTCAATGTAAATCACTGTTTAGTTTTTAGAAGTAAAGAAACTTCATTTTTTTATTCCAATGTCCCATTCATTCTGAAAAATATACTTTAGATTCCAGAAAACTCAATCCACAAGAAATTAACGAAATGTAGAAAGAAATACCCTAAGTTCGGACAACCCCGAAACCTCGTTACTGGATATTAACTCCTATTAATTTGTTCTTAAAATAGTTTGTATGAGCCCACTACTGAGTTTGTGAGAAGTGTTTGTGCAAAAATTACTTTCCTACTTCAAAACTTTGTATCAATAGTGCTCTTCCATACTTTTCACGCAAAAAGCAGTATAAAAAAAAAGTATATCAACGTTACTAAAACCCAGCAACACGACTCATCCTTGGTAACATAGAATTTTCCAAAAGGAAATGCATTGATAATCAAATCATAATTCAAAGATAAGTTTAATCAGAATGTAGGATAACAATACTAAAAAACGTGCACTGACAATTAGGTGCAGAGAAATATCAGAATTTATTTACAGAAGTTAACATGCATTACGCCTAATGGGATCCGAAGGTGTTCTCTCCACTGTAAGTCATGTAAAGAAAGCCATCTTTATCCTTATTTTCCTCATAAATAGCGGACATCAGAGCAGCTGCAACAACACTAATGAATCAGTACATACTCATTGCTAAAAAGGTAAAAACATCATTTGGCATGACTGGATACTTACCAGTTGAAGGTAGTGTGTCGTTGATGAAAACAAAAATAGCCTTCTCTGCACCGAGCTTAATCCTTCTACGGACAACATAAACAAACTGGCCAACAGTCAAATCAGCAGGGACAAGGTATCTGCATCATGACAACAAAGGTGAACCAACTGAGAATCCACGAACGCACAATATCAGATCAACCATACGCATTGAAAGAAAACTATGTCTGGTCCTCCAACTTTCAAACTTATCTCTATTTTACACCCTCCAATGTTCAAAATAAACTTAAAAAAACTATCGAACTGTATCTCGTAGGTAATTTCACTGTCAAAATAGATCGTTGGATTAGAAAAACACAAAGCCAATATTCATTAGCATTCTGCACATTCATTCGCAGAATGCCCTATTCTGCAAATCAAATTACCAACAACTTATGACTTGGTCAAATACCGGTAAAATAAAATAGATTATTGTAATACTAAGAATCGTATGAGTATATCGTTAATCTTTTAAGTATCTCATGTAACAAACATACTTCAAACATGTTTCATATAATTTCCTCTGCGGAAAAACGATTATTAATAACATAATATGAAAAAATCATTTACTTCTTTTTATCAATGTCAGGAATGTCAGTTCTTTCAGCTTTCTCCACAATCACCTGCGAAGAATTGCCATATGTAAACAAAAGCGCTTCAACAATAAAAAATAAACAGAGCATCCACATTGACTACAATCTTACAGGTATTCTATCAGGATATTTCTCTCTAATGCGAGAAGCTTCGGCCTGCCTTCTTTCTGAAGCGTTAAAAAGACCAAACGGTTAGCAAAGTCGGATGAAGGAATTTCAATCTTCAATTTTTAATTTTTAAAATACAAAAGTGTTTTGAATCCCAATGATTATAAGAAATCGAAGAATACCCAAAGGATGTAGAAACTTGAAAGAGGTTTTGGCCATAATGATATCGGAATCTGCAGATTTAAAACAACCAAAAAATTAAAAAATTGGGTTCATCACCAAAACCAAAAAAGAAAATAAATAGAATTAAAGAAAAGGAGAAAAGAATACAACACCTAAGAACGGAAGAAGGTATGCTCTGACTGGGAGAGAAGGAGATGAAGCAGATGAAATTAGGGTTTGAATTAGCGTAGTTTAGTTGCTTGTGATGTTCTGTTTCAGTCCAACACGAAAACTCTACTTATACTTTCTGCCTACGCCTCGAATCGTCCTTTCACAAGTAAACTTCGTTGGATATATAACCTTCTTTCAAAAACTGACACATTCACACGTAACAGATTTACGTTATATTTTTTCCCTTTTTCAAAATTCAGTTATCATTTTTAGTTGTTTATAAGTTTAGGTTGTTGTATAGTAGGTTCTCCGTTGGAAAGTTGTATCTTTTACCTTAGTTATTGTTTTAAATTTCATATAGTGCAAAAGCAAATTTTGATGTTAAAGATATGTATCGATTTATAACTTTTGTTTCGTATTTTTTTATAATTATTTTTTATTGTTGACGCACTAATGTTGTTGTTACGTTAGTAACAAATATTATTATTTTATATTTAATTTAATTTTTATTATTTTTTCTAGTTAATTTAACATCAATTTAAATTGAAATAGTGTTACAATTTTAAATTAGAATCAAATTTATTATTTATTTTTATATTAATATTAAAATTTATTTTTTAACGTATTAAAATAAATTAAATAAAGTAATTAAATATTAAATTACTTTATTAATAATAATTAAAAATTAATTTATATATATTAATTATTTAAATTAAGATTAAGTATTTTTTTATCCTTTGAATTTTGATACAAATTAAAATTCGTCATTTTTAAAATTTGATATATTATTATCTCAAACTTTAAAAATAAATAAATATTTAATTTACGTCAACTTTTTACATATCATTAATATTTAAGTTGCTTACTTTTTTATATTTTTCCATTTCAATATTTACTAAAAAAATGATTTTGACACGTAAAAATTAATATATTTAAGTAAAAAAACTATGTTTATCTATTTTTAAAGTTTTAAGAGTCAGTTTTGGACAATGATAAATTATAATTTTGAAATTTACAAACTAAAAACATATCTATCCTTTAAATTATTATATTATTTTATTTTTCAATTATCAAATAATAATATTTTTAAATTGATTTATTTTAAAAATTAATATTTTTAAGTCAGACCAATATTATTTTTTATTTTATTTTGTTTTAAGTCATACAATACTATTTATCGTATAACTACTATTATATTATTAAATAAATTTATGTTTTACTAACAAAAGTAAGTATTTTAAAATATTATATTATTAATCCTTAATTTTATTTTTTATAACTGTAAAAATAATTAATTTAAACCTAATTCAACGATATAGTTAAAATTGGTTGAAAAAGAAGTTTGTAAATATTTAATAGGTCAATTTTAATATAAGGCGGAATTGAATTAAAAATAAATATGTAGGAATTGTTATATGTATTTTTTAAAATTATTTGAATATTTATCTTTTAAAATTTGCTTTTGCACTATATTTATCTTTTAAAATAATTATTCATGCTTTATTTGAATATTGGATCTTTTTTTCTTCATTTTTGTTCCGTGATCTGAGTAGTTGTTTCAGATAGTTTTGGTGGTGGTTTCACTTGGGTTAGGTACAGTAGATGAAAAATATATGAATATATAGGAAATAAAAGAGGCTTCTCAAACACACATTTTATTGAAGAAAAATACTAATTTTTTATTAGAGTTTTCATGAATAGTATTTTTTAACAGAACCTCCGGAAACAGTGAAAATAGAGTTATAAGATTACTATTTCAAAAATAACATCCTTTCAAAATAAGCTGTAGAAAACAAAATTAGATTTTATTTTTTTGAAAAATGTATATGAAATTTTTTTCATATTTCGTTAATAATATAATACATAATTTTATTGAACGGGTTAAATTTTTTATTAATTATTTCACGATAAACTTATTTTATTTAAGACAAAAAACTGTGTACACGTGTATTCAGGATGATACGCTTCCTATGCTTCACTCATAAACAACTATCATCTTCCATCACCACCAACACTTCATTTTTTTCAATCTTAAATTATTTAATCCCAATCTCCATTTTCATTTATCTCAATCCAATCTACAAAAGTACACAAAAAAAAACCAATCTCTAATCTCCATCCGCACTTCTATGACGTTTTCATCTTTTCTCTAATTTCTCCATATGAAATATAAAATCAGAACAAAAGGAAGATTCGAGGAGGTTTGGAGAAGAAAAAAAAAACATATTTATATAAAGTTTAATATTTGGACCAATATTTATTTATTGGTCCAAATGGCAATTCAAGGCCCAAAATCAGATTTTATTTGGAAAATTCAGAAGGGGCTAAAGTGTAGATAGAAGAAATTTCAGGGTATTTGTGCAATTTTGGAAAGTCAGAAAATTTAAAAGATAAAATTTAATTTGAGAATATCAACAGAAAATATCTTTCAAATAATTTTATCATTATCTAAATCTTTTAGTTATTTGGAAGATATATGATATAAGATAATTAAGTTAATATCTATCAAATATTCTTTAAAACCGATTTAATCTAATAAATATTTAAAAGATGTAATATATCAACAGAAAATATCTTATCAACAAATTACATAAAGATAATATATTTGGTTTATTTTTTGTTTTTCCAATTTTATCCTCTAATTTTTAATTTTAAAATTTAAATAATTATTGATAGTAAGAAAACTGTTTTCAGTTTTATCATTCTAATAACATTTTTTCAATTCAAATAATTACTCATTATAAAATGATTAATTATATTTTTATTATTTTAGTAACTTTTTTTTAAAATTTAAATAATTACTCATAATAAAAAATTTACTTACTCAATATAATTTTAATATTTTTTATTTTAGTAAGTATAATTTATTTTATCTATAACTATATACAATTGTTTGTTTTTCTAATTTTATCCTTTTAATTATTATTTTTAAAATTTAAATAACTATCTATAACAATACATAAATTCTATAGATAAATATAACAAAATAAATATAGATTTATTTTATATATTAACTTAATAACATTATAATATCATCACTTACTAATATAATATTATAAATATTTTAAAAATACATATAGACACGATAATACATGTGTTTACACCAGTATAAAATAAGTAATTCAAAATATAATACATATTTTCCTTCCTATTGGAAATCAGTTTACAGAAAGTCTTCTACCACATTGTTAGTAATTTGACAATAATTTTAAATATTAAATATAAAATATAAAATTCATGAAATTAAATTTTTAACATATAATTTGCTAGAGTTTAGTGATAAAATATGCCTCAAAGGTCGCTTTAACAATAATCATATTCTGAAAGGATGATGATTTAATGTTGGGAGATAAAAGTTTTGAGATGATGATTCTACTTTAGAATTGGGTTTGCTGCAGTGTTTTGCTTCAGATTATCGTACAATGATTTGATCCTCCCTCTTCCAACCTTAATGTAATCTCAACAAACAACCACGGGCATCATCACAATTTACACAACGAAATTTGGCTAAAACAAAGTTAAAAAGTGGTAAAGAAACAAAGCGTTAAAGTTATTTTTAATTAAATCATTTTTAAATAAAATTAAATCATTTCTCCTTTTGTTTTACTAACCATCATAATTAAGGCTTTGGTTTCTCCCAGGAGAGTCCAAATTATCTCCACATATTTTGATCCTTATCCCAGCTACATGAGAGAGACATTATGTTTTTTTTAGAAGTTTCATGTTAACCAGTGATATTGTTAATTTACGATATATATATATATATATATTAGTTAATATATATTGGATATATATATATATATATATATATATATATATATATATATATATATCATTTTGTAATGTTGTGTTATATTTAAAGTTTATTTTTTTATATAGTATATCAGAGTCATGTATTTAGTTTATTTTAACTAAATTTATTGTTTGGTGGATTTAATATTTCATTTGTTATTGGAATATTTATTAATGTTTGGTTTCATTTTAGAGATGATTTTGTTTATAATATATAAATATGTATAAATTTCACTTTCTAGAATGTTTTTATAAGACCAAAATCATCTCATGAAAACCCTTCAAACTTTTTATAGCAAAGACCGATAACTCTTCAAACCAAAAAGTTTCAGGACTTGGATGATAATCTCAGAGTGGGAATTACTCTCTTTCCCATTTCACGTCTTCAAGATGTTCTATATCCACATATCTTGAAGATTGAGAGTAAATATACTTACAAAACACATTTTCGACGCTGATGTTAGTCAAATAGGTCAAATAACATAAAATAATGTAATAATGAATATCTCTATTTACTTTATTCACTGCACTATTTATACTACATTTTATGGACATTTTTATCTTGACATACCTGATCCACATGACTAATTATCATGATTAGTCTTTAATTAACTAATTTTTTAATAATGTTTTCGTCTTTATATTAATATGATCAACTTACATGAAGGTTGGCCCATAATGGTATGTCATATACCATAAAGACCAAGTATAGGCCTAGGTGAGCAAGATCTACTCAGCCAGAAATGTTACAAAAATCAATTTTATAGGATTGAAGGAGATTCTGAATCATTTTAATTAAAAAATGAAGAGTACTATTCACCCACACGTTTTAAAAGTAAAAGCTTTTAATCTGGGAAGCAATAAATAAGGCGATGAAAACAGAATTGTTAACCACATGCATGGATTTGTTTGTGATGAAATTAAGATAAAAGCATAATTGGATGATTGGTTTGTGAAAGATGAAAGAAAACTTATGTTGTGCGTACCAATCTGGCCCTCATTTATGGGCATTGCTCGCGGAGAGACTACAGGCAACTTGTGACAGGTCAGGTCCCAGGCATGCATGGGAACTAATTAACACTATGTCTGCCGTTGTTCTACCACCAAAGGGAATTTATGTGAAACTTTGTGGGACCACAATTATATCAAATGAGTAATGTTTAACAACCCCCTTCAACTAATTATTTTCCTTACTTCTATCTCTTTATTCATTTCTTTTTCTTTTTCTAATCAAAAACCCTTTTTTCACCATCTGCATAATCCTTTCTGCTTTTTCAGAACATCCCAATGAATTTCTGCTCCAATACCACTATACCTCGTTGAAATACTGAGCTCTAGATCAAATCATAATAATAACTTTCCGCTCTATGT